GCTTTTCTTTTTCAATTCATTTCATCAATCTCCTTCAATTCTTCTTCTCTATTCTTTTTCTATCGTAATCTTATCTTTTTTTTATCTAATCCATCTTTTTTTTAATCAAATTTCGATCTTTTTATAAGCAATGAGAGAATTTAGAAAAATTTTCTTGCTCTATGTCTTTTTCTTTGTGAACGGACGAGAAAAGAGATGAAATTTGTTGGAATGGCGAGGAAAGGTAGCAAAAGATTTAAAACTAGCACTCTAAAGCATCTACAACTACACGGGACTCGAACTCACTGCAAGAATTCGATCTGCTCCTGAGACAAGCACACTAATCACTACACCAAAGAAAAAGTATCAAAGTTTCAACGGCATTGCTCATTCTGGATGTCACAGCGTACTTTGGAGTTCAATTGACGTATTCTGGCGGTTTTAGTACTGTAATAGCTGGTCGTTGGCTGTTCAGAGGTGTTCTTTGTACTCCTCCGTAAAAAGGACCAAAATTTTGACGGTATTGAGCTATCTGGATGTCACAGCGTACATTGGAGTCCAATTTACGTACCTTGACTGATTTTTTAGTACTGTGCTATCTAGTCGTTGGCTGTCCAGAGGTGTTCTTTGTACTCTCCCGTAAAAAGGACCAAAATTCTAACGGTATTACGCTATCTGGATGTCACAGCGTACGTTGGAGTCCAATTGACGTATCCTGACTGATTTTTAGTACTGTAAGCTACCGTAGCTCAGCCCTGGACTCTAGCTCAGTCCTGTACTGGTGTACTGGACTAGAATTGACTATGACTATAACTACTGTGCCTAGTACTAGGCTCAGAGTAGTTTCTTTAGAACTTCAGATCCAACAACTAGTTTTTTATGCTACTCCTTCTCTTGGGGAAAAGCTAAAAGATAGCCTAAAAAGGCTAAAAGGGCTAAAAGGCCTCAAAAAGAGCTAAGGATTGACTCCCGGGGTCGACAAATGCATCACAGAGTCGGGTGCCCGCCGGAAAAACATTTCCCTTCACTCGATTTCCCCACTCTCAATCCCATTTCTTTGTTTTCCTTACTTATTTACGCTTTCCGTAACCAGATGTTGAATGTTCGCGTATCTCAAGAAAACGATCAACGCGATTGGTGAAGATCTAGAATTGGTTGATGATCTAGAATTGGTCGAAGATCTAGGCCAAGGATCTAGATCTTATGGTTCAAGAGGACTAGGTCTTGAAGGTCTAGCCTCAGGCTGGCTCTAGAGTCCGTTCTTAGACCTTGGACATAAGCTTAACCGGTCTAGATCCTTGACCGGACGCATCTAAGGATCTGGACCTTAGGACCTTAGAACCTTAGGATCTTAGGCTACAAAGAAACCCAAGTTTAACGATTTAACGATTCCAAGTTCTACAAGGATTCAAATCTCAAGTTCAACGCCTCACAAGGCTTATCGAATAGTTACAAGATAGGTATCTCGATCTCGATCTAGCATCTCGGTACTGGATTTTTTGATCACAGGGTTAGGGGAGGAGCTTAGGGCTTGAGTTAAGCTCAAGAGTTGAGGGCCAGGATCTTAAGGTCTCAAGAGTTGTCATCAATCAAATCCTAAGCCTCAGTCTTTTAGCAAAGCTAGATTAGTCTGAGCTTCTAAAGCTCCTAAAGCTCCCAAAGATCCTAAAGCTCCAGCTCCTAAAGCTCCAGCTCCTAAAGCTCCAGCTCCTAAAGCTCCAGCTCCTAAGGCTCCAGCTCCTAAAGCTCCTCAAGCTTCTAAAGCTTCTAAAAGTCAGAATCTCTTTTGTCACTTACAATTCCTTTTAGTGGACACGGTGGAGAGCAGCAGCAACACCAATACAAACAATGTAATCCGACCGCATTCACTTGGGCACAAGTTGAGGAATGAGCCGAACCAGTCTAAGCCAAGCCAACCCAAGCCAAACCAACCCAAGCCGAGCTCGTCAACCCAGCTACCACCACAACGATTGAATCAGGTTAGACATTTTATTAGACATTTTACATGGAATCCTCTTCACATGGCACAAGGGCTTTGCCAGGCTTCAAGCTGGTTTGGTTTAGGCTGGGTTAGGCTGGGTTCGGCTGGCTTAGACTGGCCTAGACTGGGTTAGACTGGCTATAGATCTAAGCCAGGCTAGATCAGATCTGTCTTCGTTGACCCATTGAAATGAGTCAACCAAGCCTAAGCCTAAGCCTAAGCCAGGCTTGGTTGATCTGCTGAGCCTAGGGCTTAGGTCCGAAATCTGAACCTAGTCTAGAATCTAGTCTAGAAGCCAGGGGTTAGATCAGGTCTAGCTGGTCGAAAGCCAGCTCTTGGCTCAGTTTAGCTTACCATAGTTAGACCCAATCTAAAGCCAGACTAATTGACTAGATTCTGGATTGAAGCTTCTAGAAGTCATTCTAGACTTCTAGACTTCTAGATCTAGATCTTCTAGACTTCTAGATCTAGATCTTCTGGACTTCTGGATCTAGGTCTTCTAGACTTCTGGACCTCTGGACTTCTAGATCTAGATCTTCTAGACTTCTAGACTTCTAGACTCTTCTAGACTTCTAGATCTTCTACACTTCTAGATCTAGGTCTTCTAGACTTCTAGACTTCTAGATCTAGATCTTCTAGACTTCTAGACTTCTAGACTTCTAGATCTAGATCTTCTAGACTTCTAGATCTTCTAGATGAGTTCAATTGTAAGCTAAAGTCAAATACTATCGAATGTTTTAAAGATTCTTATATCTCTACTTAGATCTCTACTCTACTTAACTACTTCTACTACTATTTAACTACTAATCTAACAAAGTAATCTAGCTCTTAACCATTAGAAGTCTTAATTCTCCTTCAAGAAATCTCTTCTCCTTTTCCGCAAAGCGTTGAAATGAAAAATTCAGTGTGTCAAGCGGAGATCGGAGGAAAATCGAAAAGAAGAGAAAGAAAACGAGAGGAAAAGATGGAAAAGATGGAAAAGGACCAATGGATACACAACCAGCAATGGAAAGCATTGAAACGTGAGTTTGAAATAGATTTGGAAGAGTTATGATTGGGAAATCGGTGGAAATTTTGTTTGCGGGACTTTGTACTACTTAAAGGCTCCTTCTGGCATAGGAGAAAGCATCGTTTTAACGAAAAATCCTCGATTCAAGCCTTCTTAGACCTTCTCAGCCTTCTCAGCCTTCTAGACTCCATCCTAAGCATCTTAGACTCCATCCTAAGCATCTTAGAGTCCATCCTAAGCATCAGTCCATTTTCCAATCGAATCCTGGCATTTCCCCAGCTTCTAGAGCTTCTTGGGGTCCAGCGATTGAAAGAGAGATTGAGGGAAGGTAAAAAAAAATGATGAGTCTTCCCGAGATCACCATGGGAACAGGGATCTTATAAGTGGGAAAGGATCTATCAGAGCCTCATCCCTTTTTGATACCAGAAAGAAGACCCATCAAATATCTCATTCCGGGGCCCTGGAAACAGGAAGTCGTCCCTCTCGATTTCCCAAACGATTTATTGGCTCTGGCTCTGGCTTTGGCTTTAGCTTTGGCTCTAGACCTGGGATTCTTTCCGTCTTTTTCCTTCTTTCTCTTTATTTTATCTAGTTTATCTAATTCTTGATTGATTTTTGGCATTTCCTTGAACATCACCGTCTTTTAAACTCCTCTATCGTTATAATATCTTTTAAACTTTTAAACTCCTCTATCATCCTCAGATTTAGCCTAAGCCCTTTGTCTTACTATGTACTGTACGCCATAATTACGTTCTTGTAGTATTTCATTGCAATGCAGGTCTTGAGAGGAGAAGTCAGTCTACAAGGTAGTCTAGATAGACTGTGGTAGACTGCCTGGCCTTGAGAGGATCGGGGAAGGCAGTCTACCAAGCAGTCTACCACAGTCTACCAAGCAGTCTACCAAGCAGTCTACCACAGTCTACAAGGTAGTCTACCAAGCAGTCTACCAGTCTACCACAGTCTATCAAGCAGTCTACCAGTCTACCAAGCAGTCTATCAAGCAGTCTACAAGGCAGTCTACCACAGTCTATCAAGCAGTCTACCAAGCAGTCTACTAGGCAGTCTACCAGTCTATCAAGCAGTCTACTAGACTACCAATCCTTTATCCTTATCTCCCATAGGTCTACCAGACAATCCTTTATCTCCGTTGTCTTAAATCCCTTTCAATGAAGATCGATGATCGAAGACCAAGCATCGAAGAGCGAGCTTTGAAAATTTAAGAAACTTAAGACAAGTTTCACCATTAAAACACCATTTTATAGCTTAAAACAAAAAGCATTGAAGAGAACAAAAAGGCTTTTGCCTATTTATGATATGATGATGAAGCAAAATATGATGAAGTAACTGAGTAAGCGACTGAGTAAGATGAAGTAAGCGACACTCTCGAGAACGTAATTATGGCCAACCCTTTATTGATTACCTAATATATTTACCTAAAGCTTTACTACAATTTTCTGCAACTGCAATGATTTTTAAGCTTTCCAAGTTTTCCAACAGCTTTCCAAGCTTTCCAAGCTTTCCAAGCTTTCCAACAGCTTTCCAAGCTTTCCAACAGCTTTCCAAGCTTTCCAACAGCTTTCCAAGCTTTCCAACAGCTTTCCAAGCTTTCCAAGCTTTCCAACAGCTTTCCAACAGCTTTCCAAGCTTTCCAACAGCTTTCCAAGCTTTCCAACAGCTTTCCAAGCTTTCCAAGCTTTCCAAGCTTTCCAACAGCTTTCCAACAGCTTTCCAAGCTTTCCAACAGCTTTCCAAGCTTTCAAAGCTTTCCAAGCTTTCCAAGCTTTCCAACAGCTTTCCAACAGCTTTCCAACAGCTTTCAAAGCTTTCCAACAGCTTTCCAACAGCTTTCCAAGCTTTCCAACAGCTTTCCAACAGCTTTCCAAGCTTTCCAACAGCTTTCCAAGTTTTCCAACAGCTTTCCAAGCTTTCCAACAGCTTTCCAAGCTTTCCAACAGCTTTCCAAGCTTTCCAACAGCTTTCCAAGCTTTCCAACGATTTTCAGTCTTTTCCAACTTCTTTTATTCTCTAAAAATGATGATCGTTGGCGATACTTTCGGTTTTTATCAACTCGTTTTGAGAAAACACGCGTGCAGGTAGAAAATGAATTGGAAAGAATTGTTAGAACAAAGATCTGACAAAGAACGTTGTTCAAGATGAAACTAATCTTTATCGGAAATATCTAGCTACCGCTATGCTTAGAGGACTGTAGCAGTAGTCGCTTAGAGGACTGTAGAACTCTTTTTATAGCAGCAGATCAGTAGTCGACTCTAACTACTCTAAGAGTATCAGATCTCAGTCATCAAATCATCAAATCAAATCTCAAATTTCAGACTCCGCTACATTTTACACCAGTTGAACAGCGGTCAATTGCCATTGGAGGATTTGAAACGGAACATCGAGTATGCGGCGCTGGTCTTGGAGACAGCGTATATGGATGAGACGAGGTAAGGAAATCAGTGGGGTTTCAGTCAAAGAAAAAAGATCAAAGGCTTTCATCCAGATATATTTTCCGTATTACCAGATTGCCGTATTTTCCCCTAATAGCAATGCGAATTATCACCATTGTTTCATCAAAAATCCAAAACTATCGAGTTTATCCTTTATTCCAATCAATTGTTCAAGTTTTGCTTAGCAGGTTTTGCTTGACAAGTTTTGCTTAGCAAGTCTTGCTTAGCAGGTTTTGCTTGACAAGTTTTGCTTTCGTTCAAGTTTCGTCCAAGCTTTGCTCCTTTAGGAATCGGTCCTTTATTTATAAAACAGTAAATGAAACCATTCGAGCCATAAATGAAACCATTCGAGCCATCAATAGCCATAGTAATCGCACAATCCTTGAACGATGATCAGATTTTTTGGCAGCTTATTCCACAGCAAAGGCAGCAAAGGTAAGCATCAATTAGCGGAGGACCAGGATTGCTATTTGATGTCATTGGACCACGGAGTCATTGGATTCCCATTCTGTCTCATGACAATCATGAGAATGAGGATTTGAAGCGTTTTGTCGAAGCTAATCCTCGGACCACAGAACTGGAGCTTGTCGTTAGAGGATTTGAAAAGAAATAGCGAGCATGCGGTGTTGGAGTTATGACAGTTAGCGATCATTTGGTTCATTCAGCATTCAATCCTCGTAAAGTGATCGAAGCTTGGCTTTGAACTTTTCATAGAACATCTCAGCTTGAATGAACTTTGTGCAACCTCCTCCGTCAACTTCTCCGCCAACGCGATCACTGCAAGCAAAACGATCCAACGATCCCTGCAAGCAAAACGATCCAACGATCCCTGCAAGCACAACGATCCGGCGATCCCTGCAAGCACAACGATCCGGCGATCCCTGCAAGCACAACGATCCAACGATCCCTGCAAGCACAACGATCCAACGATCCCTGCAAGCACAACGAGCGAACGATCCCTGCAAGCACAACGAGCGAACGATCCCTGCAAGCACAACGAGCGAACGATCCCTGCAAGCACAACGATCCAACGATCCCTGCAATCTTTGTTCCAACATCAAAACAGCGTTTCTTTTTCTTCACAAGTCCATCCGGCTCGTTCGAAGATTCTTCGGCATCAACTTGAATTGAATTCTTATTGAATTCTTTTCATAGAACATCTCAGCTTGAATGAACATTGTGCAACCTCCTCCGTCAACTTCTCCGCCAACGCGATCACTGCAAGCACAACGATCCTGTTGGATTCTTGTTGGCGTCCTGTTGAGCGCTTCGATGACTCCTTAAAGAATTCCTCCCGTTCATCATTCTCCCAACGAGCTCGAAATTCGTCCATTCCCATCAAACGGGTTTCCATCAACATCCATCTCTAAAAAAAACTATTTAGTCAAATAGTCAAAAGTCGAAGTCAAAAGCAAAAGCAAGCAAAAGAACACTAAAATCGAAATTGATTAATTCTTTTCTTACTTAGATTTTTGATAGCAAAAGGACTTAGAAGTTAAAACAATTTTAAATAAAATAAAAGTTAAAACAAGAAGTTAAAAGAATTTTCGAGAAAAGGAAACTTTTAAAATCTAATAATCTAACAGCAACAATTGTATGGAAACAATTAAATGCACGAAAGTACAGAGAAATTGAAATCAGCTCCCTTGCTTTTGCGTTTTCTTAGCTTTCTTAGCTCGAGTGGCTCGAATTCAATCTGCTAGCTTCTTTTCGAAATCAGCATCCTTGAGTTTGCGTTGAGTCGAAATCGTTGAGTTTGCGTCCGCCTTTAATTCCCGTCGTTCCCTTCGTTCCCTTTCCGTTCTCTTTTCTTTGTTTCTCGAGCTCATCCTTTTGCAGGTATTGATGAAGATTTTAGCGGTTCACTTCACTGCAGTCGTTCACTGGAGTCGATTTCTTGTTCTTGTTTTCGGTCAATGCTATTGCTGCAAGCTTTATTCCAACATCAAAATAGCGCTTGTTTTAGCGCAAAATAGCGCTTTTCACAACTGCCTCGCTCAAAGAATTAAAAATATTCAGCTAACAGACTGAATATTTTTTATGTTTGACAAATACAAATACAAAATGCCAAAGTTAAAGATGCGAATTTTGCTGAAACACAAATTTTGTCATAATTTTGTTTTCAAATTTCTCAAGGATTACACTTTAGGGAAAATACGGTATAAAGCTCTTTTGTTAACAAGGAAACTGGACTGTACGTAGCACTAATTGCGTGTCAGCCTTGTAAGCCTGTCACCAGTACAAGAGCCATTCCCAAAAGTCATGCCAGGCTTTTTGGAAGCCAATCTGAAGCCAGTGAAGCCAATCTGAAGCCAGTGAGGGCTGTCTGAAGCCAGTGAGGCCAATCTGAAGCCAGTGAGGCTAATCTGAAGCCAGTGAAGCCAATCTGAAGCCATTGAAGCCTGTCTGAAGCCAGTGAAGCCAATCTGAAGCCAGTGAAGGCTGTCTGAAGCCAGTGAGGCCAATCTGAAGCCAGTGAGGCTAATCTGAAGCCAGTGAAGCCAATCTGAAGCCAGTGAGGCCTTTCTGAAACCAGTGAAGCCAATCTGAAGCCGGAAGCCGGAAAATCGGCTTCCAGAGCATTTCTTCTGCAAACAATTACTAGATTTATAAGTGAACTTCTTTCTACGATCAATATTCTACATTTTAGACGAATCTGTGACGAAGATGACGACTTGGCCGAGGTTACTCCGGAGACTGTGCCTGATGAGGTATTCCCAGGTTCTAGTGTTTCTAAAAAAAGCACTAGAAGCACTAGAAGCACTAGAAGCTGTCTAAATCGATATTATTTTAAAAGAATATAGCTATTAATTTAAATAATATATTTAAATAATAGATTTAAATGATAGAATTACAAATGTTTCCCAAAATTTCCAGTCAAAAACCGGAGAAACGAGTGCCGATGATGAGTTGAGTAGAAAACTCTAAAGCTTATATGCTTATAAAGTTGTTTTCTTATAAAGCTTATAAAGCTCTAAAGCTTATATGCTTATAAAAGCTTTTTTTTTCAATTTTTCAGGATTTTCATTGATTTTCTTTGCTTAAAATAGAAAATTGATTAAATAAATTGAATTTTAGGTTCGAGAATGGCTGGCGGCCACGTTCACTCGGCAAAACGCGGGGAAAAAGCGCGAGAAACCGAAATTCAAATCGGTTGCAAACGCGATTCGAACTGGAATCTTCTTTGATAAGTAAAATCTTTGATAATAATATGAGAGTTGTTTTCTAGAATATGAAAGTTCATTTCTAGAATATGAAAGTAGAAGCCTAGATAAACATGATAGAGAAATTTCAGACTTTTCCGTCGACAGCAAGGTGTTCAATGCCCGATCCCGCCTGAGATAACCACTTTGATGAAGGTGAGTAGAGGGAAGGAGGCAGGAAGCAGAGGGAGGGAGGCAGGAAGAAGAAGAAGGCAGGAAGAAGAAGTGGAGGAAAGGATGAAAAGGGAATTGGCAAGGATGCCAATACGGTTCCTTTTAAGGTTCCAATACGGTTCTAATACGGTTCCAATACGGTTCCTATTTTGATCTAATACGAGTTCCAATACGGTTCCAATACAGTTCCAATACGATCCAACGGATCCCACCCCACTGTCCCATCACAAGCATCCAACCACCCCACTGTCCCATCACAAGCATCCAACCACCCTCCTGTCCCATCACAAGCATCCAACCACCCTCCTGTCCCATCACAAGCATCCAACCACCCTCCTGTCCCATCACAAGCATCCAACCACCCTCCTGTCCCATCACAAGCATCCAACCACCCTCCTGTCCCATCACAAGCCGCTTTCTCTCATTGATCTGGACCAATCGGTCTGGATCTGGCTTCACTGTTTTTACATTAGCATCAAGCATCAAGATCAATTTGTAGGTTAATCGCAGGGAATGGTTTCTGATGAACTCCTGTCCTATTTACTGGTCGAAAGTCGGCCCTAGACTTTCCTAGCTTGGTTTATAAGCCCTAGCGCTGAGCTGAACATCTATGCATAGATTTTATAGATCTTAGCCATTCGATATCGAATCCATTCCATATTGAATCCATTCCGTATCGAATCCATTCGATTTCTAATTCATTCCATACCTTCTATTAGATATCAAATCGAATTTCAGGACGTGAACACATGGTCTTTCGATTCGTTTAATTTGAATGAGATCTCCGAAGGTCATGCTCTGAAATATGTCGCTTTTGAGCTCTTCAATCGATACGGTTTCATGGATAGATTCAAGGTTTCACTCGAAATCATTTCAAATTCACATTTTGAATGTTTATTTTATGGATTTTATGCATTTATTACTTTAGATTCCCCTTCCACAACTCGAGTGTTATCTATCAGCGTTGGAGGTGAGTTTCTGAGGGAAATCTAAAGCCAATCTAGCCAATCTAGCCAATCTAGATTCAATCTAGCCAATCTAGAGCCAATCTAGAGCCAATCTAGAGCCGACCTAGCCAATCTAGATCCAATCTAGCCAATCTTGCCAATCTAGTCAATCTAGAGCCAATCTAGAACCAATCTAGCCAATCTAGCCAATCTAGCCAATCTAGAGCCAATCTAGCCAATCTAGAGCCACTCTAGCCAATCTAGAGCCAATCTAGAGCCAATCTAGCCAATCTAGCCAATCTAGCCAATCTAGAGCCAATCTAGCCAATCTAAAGCTAATCGCTTAGAAATCTTGTTTAGAACATTAAATTGAATCCATTTTCAGATTGGCTACTCAAAACACAACAATCCATACCATAACGTGGTTCACGCTGCTGATGTAGCTCAAAGCTCGCACTTCATGCTCTCGCAAACTGGATTAGCGGTTAGTTTTTGAAGAAAGAACTATACTTTAAAAGCTTATAACTTCAAAAAGAGAGTTAGAAAGCTGTTGAAAAAGCTAAAAAGCTAAAAAGCCTAAATTCGACTAAATTCGATCATTTAAACCATCATTTGATTCAAATTCAATTCAAATTCAATCATTTTAGAGTAGCCTTGGTGATCTGGAACTTCTAGCAGTCCTTTTCGGCGCTCTCATTCACGATTATGAGCACACCGGTCACACCAACAGTTTCCATATCCAATCTGGGTGAGTTTAAAGCAAAGATTTCTTTAATATCAAATTATCACTACAGAAAAAGACGCTTTATAGCTTTATTGATCAATTTGAACAATTTAATCAATTTTGATTAATCATTTCATCAATTTAATCAATTTAATCAATTTTGATTAATCAATTAATCAATTTGACAGTTCTCAATTCGCTCTCCTTTACAACGATCGATCGGTTCTTGAGAATCACCACGCTTCTGCTTGTTTCCGTTTAATGAAAGAAGAGGATAAAAATATTTTTGGCAATCTCAGCAGGGATGAGTTTCGGTGAGTGGAAGAAGGAAAGTTTGAGTTTTTGTAGCGCTGAAGAACGGTTGGGTTCAGATTAAGGTTCAGTACAATGGCTGGCTTCTACAAGGCTTAATACAAGGCTACAAGGCAGATCCAGTATTGGGTTTAGTTCTAGTACTGGGTCTAGATCCAGCTCCAGTACTGGGTCTAGATCCAGCTTTCGCCTAGACTTGATACATTAATAAAAAAGTGAAGGAATTGACAAGAAAGAAGGAAAGACAAGGGAAGAAGAAAGAAAGAAGGCAAGATAAGGGGAAGAACAAAGGAAAGACAGGGGGAAGAAGAAAGGAAGAAGAAAGGAAGAAAGAAAGAAAGACGGAAATCTCTGGGCCATAGTACTGGATCTATCAGGTCTTGTCCAGTCTTGTCCAGTCTTGTCCAGCCTTGTCCAGCCTTGTCCAGCCTTGTCCAGTCTTGTCCAGTCTTGTCCAGTATCAAACCTGTAACAATGGATCATTGTATTTGATCATATCATTGTTAGACTTGACTGATCTGGCCCTAGATCCAATACTGCAAGCTAGATCAGAATTGCAAAGCAGAGCTGCAAGGAAGGCTCAAAACTCTACTAGATCTATTTCTAAATCTGAGTATTGGGCTAAACCCGATTCTTGTACTGAGCCTAGCAAGAATAGGATTAGATCAGCTATAGATTAGCTATAGATTAGCTATAGATTAGCTATAGATTAGCTATAGATTAGCATTAGATTCGCCATCAGTACATCCCTACAATAGCCAATCCAGTACTCTGAGTCAGCAGAAAGATTGAAAGCTTCGAGAGCTTCTAGCTTCCAGCTTCTAGCTTCCAGCTTCTAGCTTCTAACTTTCAGCTTCCAGAAAGATTGCTTTTCCAGAGAACTCCGCAATATGGTGATCGAGATCGTCTTGGCCACCGATATGAGCACTCACTTTGTGCAAATAAAAACGATGAAGAATATGCTTTCATTGCCGGAGGGGTCAGGAAATTTGATCAATTTTAATTCAATCAATTTTAGTTCAATTTTAGTTCAATTTTCTATAGCTATTGACAAGAAAACAAGGCTCTGTTCTAGAATTGACAAGAACAAGGCTCTGTGTTTGATCGTGCACGCGTGTGACATCTCACATCCATCAAAGCCTTGGGGTTTACATGAGCGATGGACTGATGGCGTGCTCGAGGAGTTCTTTAGACAGGTAGACGTGCACAGAGAGCAATTGAATTTTCTAAATTTTCTTGAAAAATCGTTAAATGCTTTTGAAAAACTAAAGTTGTCGTTAGATGAAAGGAATCAGCGGTTAGATGAAAGGAATCAGCAACTAGATCAAAGGAATTGGCGGCTAGATCAAAGTCATTGTCCCAAATCGGCCAGCACTTCCTATAGATCTGATATCAACGCCAAAATATCTTTTATATCTATTTTTTAACCTCCAGGGTGATCTGGAATCATCGATGGGCTTACCCTACTCACCGCTCTGCGATCGACACACCGTACACGTGGCTGAGAGTCAAGTGAGTGCCAAAAACAGTTTAGATCTCATAACTGGATACAGTTATGAATCCCATTGGGCTCTAGCTCTAGCTCTAGATCTCTAGCTAGCTCTCTAGCTAGCTCTCTAGCTCTCTAGCCAGCTCTAGCTCTCCAGCTAGCTCTAACTCTCTAGGTAGCTCTAGCTCTAGCTCTCTAGCTAGCTCTCTAGTCAGCTCTAGCTCTCTAGGTAGCTCTAGCTCTCTAGGTAGTTCTAGCTCTAGCTCTCTAGTCAGCTCTAGCTCTCTAGCTAGCTCTCTAGCTCTCTAGCCAGCTCTAGCTCTAGCTCTCCAGCTAGCTCTCTAGTCAGCTCTAGCTCTCTAGTCAGCTCTAGCTAGCTCTCTAGCTCTCCAGCTAGCTCTAACTCTCTAGGTAGCTCTAGCTCTAGCTCTCTAGCTAGCTCTCTAGTCAGCTCTAGCTCTCTAGTCAGCTCTAGCTCTCTAGCTAGATCTCTAGCTAGCTCTCTAGCTCTCTAGCCAGCTCTAGCTCTAGCTCTCCAGCTAGCTCTCTAGCTAGATGACTTTCCATTATACTTTCCATTATCCTTCAAATATCTAATAAAGAACCGTTGGCTGACAAAGAACCTCTAGATTGGTTTCATCGATTTCATCGTCGAGCCGACAATGGTCGTTTGCGGGGAATTGCTGGTGAAAATGGTGGAACCGCTTGTCTCGTTACCGCCAACGGACAGGTTTTCTTTAAGAATATTATCTTCAATACCGTTCTCATCATTCTTTAACATCTAGTGCACTGCCGTTTCTTTTATTTCAGCTAACTCTTTTATTTCATCTAATTCTTTTATTTCAGTCTTTTCCCTCCGCAAGCCGACGGTCAGGATAGCACATCGCCAAGCCAAGCTCTTTCACCGTTACCTGAAAAGTTTGTTTTACTATAAGATTACTATATAGATATATTGGGTTGGGGAGAAGCTGATCTTGATGAGAAGCTGATCTTGATGAGGTTAAGCTGATCTTGATGAGAAGCTGATCTTGATGAGAAGCTGATCTTGATGAGAAGCTGATCTTGACGAGAAGCTGATCTTGATGAGGTTAAGCTGATCTTGATGAGAAGCTGATCTTGATGAGAAGCTGATCTTGACGAGAAGCTGATCTTGATGAGGCTAAGCGGATCTTAATGAGGATAAGCTGATCTTGACCAGGTTCTAAGCTTTGATCAAGCTAGATTTATTGGGTTGGGGAGAATGAGTCGGCGGCGAAAATGAAAAAAATGTCTAAAACTTCAATTCGACTTCGTCAAATAATATGCGGTTGATCTGAGTAGAATGGTTAACTAATTCTCTACAAAATCACATTTAAAAGAAAATTCAAACAGCGCCTCCGCTCAAGAAAAAGCCATTTTTTCACAAAAACTACAAACTGTGATCTAGAAAAAAGCATTGGTGGGATCTTCCTGCAAATTTGGCAACTTAAGTAATTGAATGTGCTCGATCTTTTTTATATAAACACCAAAGAAGGTTTATGTGAAAGAAACTGTTCAAATGATGAGTCGGACTCTTTGCCATTTTAACCAGCTGCGTTTCGAAGTTCATAAACTCCACGAAAGAAAAGCTTTGTGGAATCTCTCAAAAGTGATTTTGTAGAGAAATAGTGGATCCTTTTGATCAAACCAAACGTATGTTTAAAGAAGGCTTTATGTGTGCAAAAAGTCCCATTAAAGTTTGGCGCCGACTCATTCTCCCCAACCCAATAGATTACTATAAAAGTTTAAATCCGAATTTTTAGCGCCAGATTGCTCAGGTATAAAGCTTGTAAAAGATTGACAAGATTTGCTTTTGTTTTTATAATGTCTATTCAATTAAAAGGTTTTAAAGGTTTTAAGAGGCTTTGGAAGGCTTTAAAAGGCTTTAGAAGGCTTAGGCTTAGGCTTAGGCTTAGGGCTCAGGCTTAGGCTTAGGGCTCAGGCTTAGGCTTAGGGCTCAGGCTTAGGCTCAGGTCTAAGCCTAAGCCTGAGCCTAAGCCTTCTAAAGCCTTTTAAAGCCTTCCAAAGACTTTAGAAGGCTTTAGAAGACTTTAGAAGGCTTTAGAAGGCTTTAGAAGACTTTAGAAGGCTTTAGAAGACTTTAGAAGGCTTTAGAAGGCTTTAGAAGACTTTAAAAGGCTTTAAAAGGCTTTAGAAGACTTTAGAAGGCTTTAGAAGACTTTAAAAGGCTTTAGAAGGCTTTAGAAGACTTTAAAAGGCTTTAAAAGGCTTTAGAAGACTTTAGAAGGCTTTAGAAGACTTTAAAAGGCTTTAGAAGGCTTTAGAAGACTTTAAAAGGCTTTAAAAGGCTTTAGAAGACTTTAGAAGACTTTAAAAGGCTTTAGAAGACTTTAGAAGGCTTTAGAAGGCTTTAGAAGACTTTAAAAGGCTTTAGAAGGCTTTAGAAGACTTTAGAAGACTTTAGAAGGCTTTAGAAGGCTTTAGAAGGCTTTAGAAGGCTTTAGAAGACTTTAGAAGGCTTTAGAAGGCTTTAGAAGGCTTTAGAAGACTTTAGAAGGCTTTAGAAGGCTTTAGAAGGCTTTAGAAGACTTTAAAAAGCTTCAGAAGACTTTAAAATTCATCTAAAGCTGTTCTTTAGATAAATTTCCTTTTAGTCGAAGCAACTCAACAAACAATGCGAACTCGGTGCGTCGAATCCCGTTGTCTTATTGTGGAAAGTTGGACATTCCGAATCCGTGGACGAAATATCTTCACGAGAATAAGCAATGCTGGAAGGAAAGAGCGGCGAAAGGTTTAGAGCTTTTAAAGTGTTTCTAACAACATCTTTTAAAGCTTTCAAAGTCTAACAACATCTAAAAAATAATCCAATTATACTGCAAGCTGCCCGCGAGTCAAATAAACTAAAGTTCAATAAACTAATGCTTAAACGAATGCTTATTGGACTCGCGGACTCGATGCGGACTAGAGCTCTGGTCCGCAGCTCAGGCTTAGGCTTAGGCTTAGGCTTAGAGCTCCGGACTAGAGCTCTAGTCCGCAGCTCTCTCTAGAGCTGGGAAAATAATTGAAATTGATATTTTCAATAATGGAATCAGATTGATTTGATGATTAATCGTGAATCAAAGGATTTATTAAACATTTAGCTTTTCAAAACATTTAGCTATTTCATTTGCATCAACCCAATAACAATTTAGCATTTACTAATCGATTTAACAACTTTGCTGCTATCAATTTAGCAATTTAGCATTTAGAAACTTGTCTAAATGCTTTCTAGATCCTTCTAGATCCTTCTAAGTCCTTCTAGTTCCTTCTAAATGCTTCTAAATGCTTTCTAAATGGTTCTAAATCCTTCTAAATGCTTCTAAATGCTTTCTAAAGCCTTCTAAGTGCTTTCTAAATCCTTCTAGATCCTTCTAAGTCCTTCTAAATGCTTTCTAGATGCTTCTAAATGCTTTCTAAATGGTTCTAAATGGTTCTAGATCCTTCTAAATGCTTTCTAGATGCTTCTAAATGCTTCTAAATGGTTCTAAAGCCTTCTAAATCCTTCTAAATGCTTCTAAATGCTTTCTAGACCCTTCTAAATCCTTCTAAATGCTTTCTAAATGCTTTCTAAATGGTTCCCAATGGTTCTAAATCCTTCTAAATGCTTTCTAAGTGGTTCTAAATGCTTTCTAAGTTCTTCTAAATCCTTCTAAATGTTTCTAAATCCTTCTAAATCCTTCTAAATGCTTTCTAAATGGTCTCATGGTTGTTTTCAATGGTTCTTTCTAGATGCTTCTAAATGCTTCTACATGCTTTCTAAATCCTTCTAAATCCTTCTAAATGCTTTCTAAAGGCTTCTAAGTCCTTCTAAGGCCTTCTAAATGCTTTCTAAATGCTTTCTAAATCCTTCTAAACCCTTCTAAATCATTCTAAATCCTTCTAAATCCTTTCTAAATACTAATCCAATTGCAATTACACGAGTTCCTATAAAACTTTCTTATTTTTAGAAGAAGAAGAGCGAAAACGAGCTGCTGCCGACGAGAAGCCAAAAGAAAATGGAGTCACCGAGAATGGGAAATCTTAATTTATTTGAAAATATAAAAATATATTAATATTATATTAGATAAGGGTTACGGTAACTGAATTTAGCAAAAAAGAAAAAACTTTCGGCACAAGCCGGGATCGAACCCGTGACCCCCTCGACCCTCGACGCCCCCCGACTGACATCTTTTTCCCCACTGCGCCAACCGGCTCCATCTCAAATATTATCAATTTTGAATTTTTTTTCAATCCTATTGTAAGCATGACTTCCAAAACTTATATTAAACTTTTAAAATTCGAATTTTTCCCCAAAAAAGAGACGAAAACCCTGCGGGTAGCGCTAATTTTGAAAATTTCTATGAAATTTCGATGAAATTGCCGCAATTTCTATGAAAAATCATCGAAAAACCCTATAGATTTCACTCGTTTTCACATTCCTTTTCGTTTGATTCATTTGATGGTGCAATTTTCGGTGTTTTTTTTTTGTGTTTTTTGTGTTTTGATTGAAATTTGATGAGAATTTCTGTATATTCTTAAAATTTTATTAGTAAATGAGTGCTCAAATATTGTTTTTTTCTCGAAAATACACAAAAATCGGCTAAAAACTGAAATTGCTTATTGACTGAAACAGCTAGAATCCCTAGAACACAAACTCTGGCAGCTGCACTTCTGAAAGCTCAAAGCTATGGTACGGCTCAAAAAAGATGCTAGGGTACCGTAAATTGAGCCTTATCGTACTCTGTGACATCCAGATCGTGCATTGCTTTGTGCCAGAAGGCGATTGTTTATGTGAAAGTACAAAGTACACCTCTGGCAGCTGACAGCTATGGGACAGTATCTGACAAACGATGCTAGGGTACCGTAAATTGATGCTTATCGTATTGTGTGACATCCAGATCGGGTAACGCTTTGTGCCAGAAGGCGAGCGCTCATGCGGAAGCACAAAGAACACCTCTGGCAGCTGACAGCTATGGGACAGTATCTGAAAAATAAGCTAAAGTACCGTAAATTGATGCTTATTGTACTGTGTGACATCCAGATCGTGCATTGCTTTGTGCCAGAAGGCGATTGTTTATGTGAAAGTACAAAGTACACCTCTGGCAGCTGACAGCTATGGGACAGTATCTGACAAACGATGCTAGGGTACCGTAAATTGATGCTTATCGTATTGTGTGACATCCAGATCGGGTAACGCTTTGTGCCAGAAGGCGAGCGCTCATGCGGAAGCACAAAGAACACCTCTGGCAGCTGACAGCTATGGGACAGTATCTGAAAAATAAGCTAAAGTACCGTAAATTGATGCTTATTGTACTGTGTGACATCCAGATCGTGCATTGCTTTGTGCCAGAAGGCGATTGTTTATGTGAAAGTACAAAGTACACCTCTGGCAGCTGACAGCTATGGGACAGTATCTGACAAACGATGCTAGGGTACCGTAAATTGATGCTTATCGTATTGTGTGACATCCAGATCGGGTAACGCTTTGTGCCAGAAGGCGAGCGCTCATGCGGAAGCACAAAGAACACCTCTGGCAGCTGACAGCTATGGGACAGTATCTGAAAAATAAGCTAAAGTACCGTAAATTGATGCTTATTGTACTGCGTGACATCCAGATCGTGCATTGCTTTGTGCCACAAGGCGATTGTTTATGTGAAAGTACAAAGTACACCTCTGGCGGCTTAAAGCTATGGTACGGTGTCCGACAAAAGATACTAGGGTACCGTAAATTGGTGTTTATCGTACTCTGTGACATCCAGATCGTGCATTGCTTTCAAAAACTTTCACAAAATCCTTTATGATTACAAGTTTTCTGAAGGGGTAACGAACTGACAGAAAAACGACTGACTAAATTGACGCTAGGCTAGCGTAAATTGGTGCTTATCGTACTCTGTGACATCCAGATCGTGCATTGCTTTCAAAAACTTTCACAAAATCCTTTATGATTACAAGTTTTCTGAAGGGGTAACGAACTGACAGAAAAACGACTGACTAAATTGACGCTAGGCTAGCGTAAATTGGTGCTTATCGTACTCTGTGACATCCAGATCGTGCATTGCTTTCAAAAACTTTCACAAAATCCTTTATGATTACAAGTTTTCTGGAGGGTTGACGAACGAGTGCCCAGAAAACTGTTTTGTGCTTTGTTGTAAACATTCCTCATCTGGTGTAAATCATTTCGTGTAAATCTTCTCAAAAATGATTTCAAAAGGGTAAAGAGGACAAAGTGTTGGCGGAATTTTCAATGCCAAAATCGGGGAACTTCTGAAAACCATAGAATAAGCAGTTTTTCAAAATAAAACCCGAAAATTTAGGTAAAACTCTTGAAATTCAGTGCGCCAGATGCGTGCGTTTACAATTTTTTCTCGAAATATTCATGTTTTATTCAAGTTAAAGTTATGATTTCAGAATTTTTCGATCATTTTTTTTTGAGATTCACGTTTTCGTCTTTTCGAAAATTCAAAATTCATTGAATTTTTCATTTTCAAATTTTGACGAGAGTTTTATCAACTGCAATAAAATAGAGCTTTAAAATTTTGATGTTTTCTAGGAGTCATTGAGCTTGCTTGCTTGCTTCCTTCCTTGCTTCCTTGCTTGCTTGCTTCCTTGCTCGCTTGCTTCCTTGCTTCCTGCTTGCTTCCCTCCTTGCTTCCTTGCTTGCTTCCTTGCTTGTTTCCTTCCTTGCTCGCTTCCTTACTTGCTTCCTTGCTTGCTTCCTTGCTCGCTTCCTTTCTTGCCTTCTTGCTCACTTCCTTGCTCGCTTCCTTCCTTGCTTTCTGCTTGCTTCCTCGCTACCTTGCTACCTTGCTTCTTTGTTTGCTTTTTGGATAATATTTAAATCTATCGGTGTGCCAGAAGGCTTGTGTTTATGAACAGAAAAAAAAGCAGACCCAGTTTCCCCGTTTCTCTTTTTTTTCGATGATTTCACTTCTTTTCTAACAATCAAAGCTCATTTTTTTGATTTACATATGCAATTTTTTCCCGATTTTTTTCGAATCGAGGGTAATTGGATTCTGATGGGAAAGGGAAACGAAGGGGGAATAAAAGCATTTTTCAGTCGATCATCAAAAAGAATCCCAAAAATTCCCAGGATTTTCCCGAATTTTCCCGAATTCTAGATTTTCTAGTACATTTCCTGGCCATTTTACTGAATTTTCTAAACTTTCGTTAACCTTTAATCGTTCTAATCATTCGTTTAGGGTTGTTGATTTGGTTGATTTGCGAAGGTTTTTACAGTGAGCGGATTCGAACCAGCACCCTCAGATTCACAGCCAAGCCCACTAACCACTAGGCCACAAAAAGTTTTGCTTATTTTAGAGAACTAAAAATCTAGATAGATTTTGTGATATCCAGCTTCAACGAAAACCGCTTTTGTTTCACTCAATTTCCTTTCTTTTCTCTTAAAATTGCGCGAACTGAGATCACGTAAAAATAAGCCGAAACAGCCTTTCGCAGGCCTTAATTTTAAGATTAAGGTTCAAATTGGATGTCACCAATGAAAAAAGGATAGTTGAAAACCCGAAATCGAGCGGATAATTCAGACGAAAAATGGGCAAGAAATTCACTTTCCCCAACTTCATGTGCGTTCTTTGAGCTCTCCCGTAAACTTCTGGCTTCTGGCACAGTGGTTTGATTGTCATGTCCGTTTTAGTTACTCAATTCTCTGACTTTGGCGTTCTTTGTGCGTTCTTTGTGCTTCCTCGTAAACGCAAACCATCTGGCACACTGGACTTCAAAAGATTGTAGCCTAGCCCATCTTCTTTCCTTTAATGGGTAGACGAATTGCCTGAATCGGTGAGAATCATTGTGCCAGAAGTCGAGCGTTTACCTGGGAGCACAAAGAACGCAGAAACGCACGGGCCGGTGATAATCGGTGTGCCAGAAGTTGAGCGTTTACGTGAGAGCACAAAGAACGCACAAATGCCCTAAACCGGTGATAATCAGTGTGCCAGAAGTCGAAGTTTATCTGGAAGCACAAAGAACGCACAAAACTACTAACCGGTAATGATCAGTTTGCCAGAAGTCGAGGGTTTACCTGGGAGCACAAAGAACGCACCAAACCACTAACCGGTGATAATTAGTGCGCCAGAAGTTGATCGTTTACTTGAGAGCACAAAGAACGCACAAATGCGTTAACCGGTGATAATCAGTGTGCCAGAAGTCGAGCGTTTACTGGGAGCACAAAGAACGCACAAACAGACTATTTACTTGTTTCCAAAAATTGCTCATCTTGAGCTAAAGATTTTCTCATGAGATTCCAGAATCCATTTCCCCGTCTCTTTCCATTTTTCCCGATCTCTTCGATTTCCCATTTAACCCTTTTTCCCCTGAGTACTTACCCCAGCTGATGAGTAAATGAAAAAGAAATGAAACTTCCGCTTTCATTTCCTTTTTGAGATTGATTTTGCATGGAAAAAACTTGTTTTCAAGATTTCCCGCTACGCCAGACAGCCAGTGTTTTTGTTTACAATTGGTTTAAATAAAAAAGTTTTTTTGGAATCTCCCTGAAAATTCAGTTCAACACTTTTCTGAGCGTTCTTCATTTTTCCATACAAACGTGCGCACTCTGGTGCACCGGAAAACTCTAGCTTTGCTAGCTTTGCTCAGCTCTAACTCGACCGGAGTTGATTTTAGCCAAAGCAAAAATATTTTGACAGTGAGCGGCCTCGAACCAGCACCCTCAGATTCACAGCCAAGCCCACTAACCACTAGGCCATAAAAATTTTTGCTTATTTTAGAGAACTAAGAGTTTAGATAGATTCTGTGACATCCAGCTTGAATGAAAAACGCTTTAGTTTCACTCAATTCTTTTTCGTTTCTCTTAAAACCGCATGAACTGAGATCACGAGAAAATAAGCTGAAACAGGCAAAATTAAAGCTAAAGAAAATGCTATACATAAATCCTGGAACGCACTGAATCTTTAGCAATTATTAGTAGCTGAAAATGAGCAATATTTTCGATGGCGCAGTGGGTCAAGCAAAGATTTTCCAGGCGGAGGGTCGCTGGTTCGAGTCCGGTCACCGCCAGAAGTTTGCTTTTTTTTAGAAAAAACGGTTTAGATAGATTCTGTGACATCCAGCTTGAATGAAAAACGTTTTTGTTTCACTCAATTTCCTTTCATTTCTCTTAAAATTGCGCGAAATGAGATCACGGGAAAATAAGCCGAAACAGGCAAAATTAAAGCTAAAGAAAATGCTATTCATAAATCCTGGAACGCACTGAATCTTTAGCAATTATTGGTAGCTGAAAATCAATTGGACTCCAACGTACGCTGTGACATCCAGAATGAGCAATACTTTTAGAATTTTGATCCTTTTTACTTGTAAAAGATCAACTAAAGCCCAGGTCCAAGCTACTTCGAATCAAAAGAGCACAGCTCCTCAATTTTTGCATTTTCTGAAGAGTTTTTTTCTGAAGAAATCCTAATTGACAAATATTTCGTCATTTTTGAAAAAAACCCCACTCATGCAGAGATTCTAAACGTTTTGGGCACTCTGCTCAAGCCTATTCTCTAGATCTTTTTTTCTATTCCTATTTCTATTTCTATTTCTATTCCCCAAATCTATTTTTACTACTTTTTCCTATATAAACTTTACTATTTTTTTGCTCATTTTCTGTAAAATCCCTTTTTTTACTCATTTTTTATTTATTTCTTTACAATTTCAGGGTTTCCACATCAGAAATGTTTGCATTAAGATCGTTCTGCAGAGATCTTTTCTTTCTCGTCGCCCTCGTGAGTTTCTTTGAGTTTGAATTGGGGAATTGAGTTGGAGAGTTGGAATGGAGAATTGAATTGGAGAATTGAATTGGGGAATTGAATTGGGGAATTGAATTGGAGAATTTGAATTGGAGAATTGAATTGAAGAATTTGAATTGAAGAATTGAATTGGAGAATTGGAATCAATCGTTTATGAATTCAAAATCCTTTTTTTAGATCTCTATCTGCAGTAAATGTGATGCAAAGAGGACAGGTTTTTTTTGGCAATTATTTTGTTTTTTAACTGAAACTTTTTAGTTAGTCGCTCACGTCGATCGGTGCCCAGTGACGAGTGGACGAAATCTTTTCAGGATTATGGTAAGGTTGCTCTTGATGATAGGTAGCTGTTGGCGATAGATAGCTGTTGATGATAGGGAGCTGTTGGCGATAGGGAGCTGTTGATGATATGTAGCTGTTGATGATAGGTAGCTGTTGATGATAGGTAGCTGTTGATGATAGGGAGCTGTTGATGATAGGGAGCTGTTGATGATAGACAGCTTTTGAAGATAGATAGCTGTTGATAATAGATAGCTGTTGATGATAGGTAACTGTTGGCGATAGCTACCTATCGTCACCAACAGCTGCCTATCGTCAAGAGCTACAGTACTGGACAATGAAATATGATATTTGAAAAACGTTCGTCACTTTCGCGCGCCTGTAACTCCCTTGTCTTTAAGTTTAAACTATTAGTGTTATACATTTTCTGAAAGCTCTTTTCAAGGGCTACACAATGATAATATTAATATTTAGAAATACGGTAAAGACAATGGAGTTACAGACGCGCGAAAGTGACGATCTCTTTTCAAATATGATATTTCATTGTCCAGTGGTGTAGCTCTTGATGATAGGTAGCTGTTGATGATAGACAGCTGCTGATGATATGTAGCTGTTGATGATAGATAGCTGTTGATGATAGCTACCTATCGTCATCAACAGCTACCTATCGTCATCAACAGCTACCTCAACAGCTACCTATCATCAACAGCTATCTATCAGCTGTGGGCGTGTAAAAATAAAGTAAATAGCCAAGAGTACAAATAAAAAACAAATAAACTTTCCAGATTAAAAAATAGAACATTTTATATCGACCGAAATTTTATTTGCATCAACCTATTAGTTGAACAGTTTAACAGTAAGCTCACCTGAAATCAGTTTGAAGCGGTGGGTAAGCTAGAGTTGGATAAACCAGTTGAAGTTGGAATGACTGTTCGTCTCTCAATCGATGTTGTTGATCGATCTGAAATCGGTGACTTGTTTTTTGTCTTTCGAAAAGGTTTATCAGATTAGCTGGAGTTTTACATTAAAAGTTCGCTATTGATCTTAGATTTTATATTAATCTTTGTTTAATCTTTCTTTCTTTCTTTCTTTCTTTCTTTCTTTCCTTTCTTTCCTTTCTTTCTTTCCTTTCTTTCTTTCATTAGAATGATTCGTACAGCTGGCCAATCATAAATGTACAGCTAGCCAATCACAAATGTCTAGCTAGCCAATCACAAACGATTCGTCCAGCTAGCCGTCCAGCTAACCAATAATCATTTTTACAATAATTTCCAGGCGGTGTGCCAAGTGATCGCTTTTATCGAGTCAATTTCTACGATGCTCCTTTTGAGAAACGATCTGAACAGGTGGTTACTGTAGATTGTTCATAGATCATAGACGTTCATTTGTACTGTAGGTTTGGGTACTGTAACGGCTTAGGCTTAGGCTTAGGCTGGCTTAGGCTTAGGCTCAGGCTTAGGCTTAGGCTTAGGCTTAGGCTTTGGCTTAGGCTTAGACTTAGGCTTAGGCTTAGGCTTAGGGCTAAAGGTTTATATAATCTAGAAAATTACTGTAAAAGTAAAGAGATTAGAGAATCGAGATAATTCAATTTTGATTCAATTTTCGATGATTTCCTGTTTAATTTGTTTAATTTGTTTAATTTATTCAACTTTTTCAGGCTCTCCGTTTTCTTGAACGTCCCACTCGACGCGATTACAATATTTGGCTAAAACGATTGGGGAAAAGAGCGGTTTGAGTTTGAAATCGAAATCTGAATCATATTTAGAAAAGATTCTAAAAGCTAAGAGTCTAAAAGCTAAGATTCTAAAAAACTCAAATTACATTACAATTTGATCTCTTAATCTTTCCAGGATCGAAATGCCCGTTCAAAAGATTTTGGAAGAGTTTGGCTGAAGAAACTTGGAAAAAGAATGCTTATGTAAAAGGTTGAAATAAAGAGTTTTTTGTGTACTTGTACTTTTGTACTTTTTGCGTACAAATAAAGGTATGCCTTTTGGGAGATTTCTAGCAATTCTAATGATGGTTTTGTGGACTTCAAAGGCTTCAGCTAGGCAGATGAGCTAAGCTAAGCTAGGCAGATGAGCTAAGCTAAGCTAGGCAGATGAGCTAAGCTAAGCTAGGCAGCTGAGCTAAGCTAAGCTAGGCAGCTGAGCTAGGCAGTTGGGCTAGGCAGCTGAGCTAGGCTGTTGGGCTAGGCAGTTGGGCTAGGCAGCCAGGAAGACAGGAAGACAGGAAGATAGGAAGAGAGGAGGAGAGGAAGATAGGAAGATAGGAAGACAGGAAGAGAGGGATAAAAAGCGATAAATGAAAAGAGAATGGGGACATTTGTCGCCCATTTTCTTGTAAAACTAGACATTCGTTCACTTTTCCATGTCATCCTTCTTCTTTTCCCTTTTTCTTTAGCTCTCCGGAGACCCGGGGAAGTAAGTGTGAGCAATAAGAATACTGTAGTTCAGTGATCTCAGTGGATACGAGACGTTTTCATTGAGTACTTTGTAGCGCATCCTCGAACTAAGACTAAAAGTTGACGTAGAGATCGATGAAACGAGCATTTCCAAAAGAAAGCATAACCGTGATCGTTTGTCTGGTCATCAGAGGCATCAGAGGCAATGGATGTTTGGTGGTATAAAGCGTGCGTCCGAATGAGAATGCTTGAGATGATCCTATCCACAGATCATCAGATTGCCAGATCATCAGATTAACATCTTTGGAGATGTGAAAAAGGTTTGAAAATCGATTATCCAACGTATCGAATGCCAAATTTCGAAATTCAACAATCAAAGTTGTTGGAAAAGCACTCTAAAACACGTGTTAAATCAAAAAGATAGATCAAAAATCCCCGGCGAATTAAAGATATTTCCTTTCTGATCATTTTAAGACCAAAAAATGTCAAAATCCGTTCATTTTAAGGTCAGAAGAATCGTTTTTAAGATGGCAATGGATAACCTACCGTAACCCGCGCACAATAGCTTAAGGGTCGAATTCTAAAATGCAACCAATTCAAAAATTGTGTTTTCTGTTGTTCAAAAAAGTGTTTTGTAAAGGAAATTTTGTTCTTTTCTTTAAAGCATTCTTTTCGTGTCACTCGTCGGAAAAAAAACGGCTTCTGTGACACTGCTATGGGGTCAGGACTTGGGTAATTAAACTGATTTGAAAAAAATTAATTGAATTGAAAAAAAAATTGCGTTTTTCTAAGGTAACGAATCATTTTTGAAAGCTCAAAACAATTCTGAAGGAAATTCTGACTGAAAATAAACTCTCTGAAGTTTGTTGAGCTAAAATTCAAGGCCGGATTCAGATTCTAGAGTCTTTCAAGGCCTCATGTTAAGGCCAAGGCAAATTTCCTGGGATTCACTTATTCATTTTAATCCCTCGATTCAAATCAGGCCGTTTCGCAAAAGATTCGCGATCGTCAATGCGTTAAAAACAGTGAATACTTTCGTAGTTTCTTTTTTTTTTCATTACAATCCTTTTGTATTCGATTGAGTCAAATATTTTTTATCAAATCAAATATTTTATAAATCAAATATTTTATAAATCAAATATTTTATCAAATCAAATATTTTATAAATCAAATATTTTATAAATCAAATTAATGAATGAATCACGTTGAAAAGAGGTTTTACGATATGCTTTATTCAGTTGAATAGCGACAAAACAAAATGACAATAATTACCCAGGACATCACTCAAAACACACCCAAAAAATAAATAGATACCTCGAGAAAGAATCACAGAAAGAATCACCAATCAATGCAGAAAATGCAGAAATTGCGGCTTTAAATCTAGCCAAGGTGGGAATATCACGAACATGAGGGGATAAAACGTTCCAGAATTTAATAACTCGATTAAAAAAGAAACTGTGGGGGCTTTTAGAGGAAACGCATGGTTGGCGTATGAGAAAAGGTCCCCTTCTGGAGAGGAGTTTTATTCCGTCAAATCAATCAAAAGGATTGCCTTTTGATTGATTAAAAGATACTCCAAAAGCCGCAAGGTTCAAATCGTCAATTTTAACCGCAATCCATTCTTTTGTCCCATCAAAACCAATTGGTCGAATCAATTCCATTTGGGTTTTTGAGATTACCGGTTGAAAATCTCCATCTGTTGCTAGCTAGAAGATATATCATACTATTAGATATATCATACTATCATACTATCATGCTATTGAAAAGAAAGTTCTCGGAAAAAGTTTGGAATGTTATTTTTTTTTGAAAAACTAGAAAACGTTCAAGATTCAAGGTATACCCCATTATTAAGTATAACTTGTTGCCATTTATTTGGTTGAGCACGGATTCCCTTCTCTTAGAAATTCTTTGACTGGCTGTCAAAAAAAGTCGCGTAGCCAGGTGGAGACCTCAGCTCCATCTCCGAAGTGCTCTCCATCGAGTTCTGCAGCCAGCTTCCGGAATAGATGAAAATCAAAGGGATCAAGACCTTGCCCCCTTTGATTGTACGGTGGATGGGCTGTACAGTGGATGAGGCAGAACTTCCCAGCCAAACTCCTTTGTTTCTCTTCTGTCAGCTTCGCAAAATGAGCTCTGCGTCGTGTTGAAGGAGGACTTTTCCCTTATTTGGTCTTGTTTTTTTGATTCCTTTGGCGAGTCGGTCTAGTTGATTTGTATAAAGTAAAGCTGTAACTGTTGTCTTTCCAGGCAGCAACTCCCAGTATATAAGTCCTTCGAGATCCCACCAAATACTCAACATAATCTTCTTCTGTTGGAGTTTAGATTTGGGTTCAGGTTTTGGCTTTTCTCTAGGCCCTACCCATTGCTTGTATCTCCGATAGTTGACATACAGCACCCACTTTTCATCCTCAATCACCACATGTGACAAAAAAGAATATCGGTTGTATCTTGAGAGAAGGGCAGACGAGATTGAAAGGCGCCTCCATCTCATCACGTCAGTCAGAGTGTGGAGAACCCAGGAGCCAAATTTGAGTGAAGATGAGTGAAGATGCGTTTGAATTGTTGCTCTCCTAGCTGCTGCTCTGTTGCTCTCCTAGCTGCTGCTCTGTTGCTCACTGCTGCGCACAGCTGCTCTCCCAATTCCCGGGTAGACAGTTTGTTATCGTTTTGTAAGAGCAAGAGCTGTTTCATCGAAGTCAATCGGGCGAGTCAGTCAGTCGGCTGACCGCGGTGCATCTTCCATGGAAAAGTCTCCTCTTTGGAAACGATCGTACCATTTATAAACTGTCGAAGTTTATTGAAGCTTAAACTTATTGAAGCTCGCCCTTATTGAAGCTTGAATAGTATTGATTTCCTCAAGAACTTTAGCTGAAACCTTGGCAAAGAACGAAATGACATGCCAAAGCTGACCCTCGGGAAGCCATTGAGCATCTCCCAAAGAAAATAGCAGTATTTCATTTGGGTGTAGTCAATGAATGAGGCTTTATGTAAAAAAGATGACTTATCAGCGGCTGCATCGCGTGTTCGAGGAATTTAATAAACCAAAAGTAGAAAAAAAAATTCTGAGGACTTTCTTTTCAAACTGATAGTTTTATCAAACACTCGAAAACGCCAACCTCATTTAGAGCTTGGATTTTTCGATACGTTTCCTCGATGTTTGGCCGTTTTTCTATACGAGAATGAGTACATCTAAATTTTTATAAAAAGAAATTAAAAAAGTTGAAAAGTTGAAAAAATTAAAAAATTGAAAAATTTGAAAACTAAAGCATTTCAAAAAGTAGATCTTTTCTTTTCAACTAAAACTTTTCAACTTTTCAACTCACTCAGCAACTAACAACTCACTCGGCAACTAACAACTTTAGCTCTTTCGAACAATGAATAATCTCCTCTAATGTGTAGAGATCATTCCAAAAATCGTGAAAAAATTTGGGAGCTACAAAATATCTTTCCTCGATATATATTGAATGAACAAATCTAAAAAGATTTCATTTTCGATTCTTCGATTCGCGATTTTAAATTCTTCGATACTTTTTCGCTCTTTTCCGTTATACATCCACAAAAATCAATCACCCGATCAGAACGAGATTGCATCGGCCTCGGTAGTCGGTAAGCGAAAGTCCACGCCGAGTCGACCACGCCGAGTCGACCACGCCGAGTCGACCACGCCGAGTCGACCACGCCGAGTCGACCACGCCGAGTCGACCACGCCGAGTCGACCACGCCGAGTCGACCACGCCGAGTCGACCACGCCGAGTCGACCACGCCGAGTCGACCACGCCGAGTCGACCACGCCGAGTCGACCACGCCGTTCGCAAAACAATGAATTTCCGTTATGCATCCGCAAAATTAGCATTTCGGCCAAATTTGCACTCTTCCATGAAAATAAACAAGGAAAACCACAGAAAATTCATTTTTTTGCTATTTCCTGACGGCGCGATGGATTATGTTTCGCTTACCGACCACCGAGGCCGATACAATCTCGTTCTTTCAACAACCGCGCATCTTGCTTGCTACTCGCATTACTACTTACTACTATTTCCTCGCTCGGTGGATTATGTTTCGCTTACCGACCACCGAGGCCGATACAATCTCGTTCTTTCAACAACCGCGCATCTTCCTTACTACTCGCACATGCGCTAACCATCACCTTATGAAGCTGACAATCTAATATTTCTCAATCAGAATCCCCGATGGAGATGTGACAAAACGTCGTGTCAGACGGCGATCGGTCTGGGTGTTGGCTCATGGATGCAGGGCACCAAAATTCCCTTTCTCACAATCCTACGATTCATGGATGGACTATGGATCTATGGATGGACTCAACAGTGGATCTCGATCGACTATTGTGCGAAAGAATTTGGAGATGAATCACAACACCGCGCTCGACTTTAACAACTACATGCGGGATCTTTACGTGGAATATCTGGTGAAGAAGCCGAGTGGAAAAATTCGAGGATCCAATCGAATCGTCGAGGTGGAGGAGTCTCGCTTCTCAAAGCGAAAGGCGAATCTTGC